TTCCTAACTGATGTTTTCACATGTTAATAGTCTTTGAGAAAGGCCTGGTACATTCGGTAAATTCTGGCCCACCTTAGCGTACATATAAACCTCTTCCTCGAGCCTTAGAGTTGTGAGGATGGGGGACAGGGTCTCTCTGTCTTGCTGTCAAGACACATTTCTTCCCAAAAGTCCCCAGTTGCACTCTATGTAATGTTGGGTTTGTCTGTCTGTTCATTTTTTGGTCTCTCGGCACTTTCTCCCTTAAGCAGCCAATTCTTAGGCACTAAGGGGCACTGACTCCCCTATGCTCGTCCATCCTCTAGCGCTGTCTCCTGATTTCCCCATTGGTCCACAGTGTCTTCCTATTCAGAGCTTCTGACAGAAATTTAAAGACTAAAAACAACATCAATGACAGCAGTTCCGTGGATGGAGATTCTGTGCCAGAGACTGGGCTGCAGCTGCTTTTAATGCCTGTTGCTGGTCCTTATAACAGTACTGCAGGTAACAGGTGTTTGTGGTGGCCTTATTTTGTAGAGGAGCAAACTAAGACTTTTTGGAGATTGTCACTTGCCTCTGACCACACAGGTCAGCCGTGCAGAAAGCAGCACTTTGTCCTTCCTGAGGCGATGGCTTCTGCTCCCCAGATCTGTGTCCTGGGCTCCCAGGATGGAGGAATGGTCACCCCTTCCTGAGCACCCCTCTGGTCCAGGGCCCCCTGAGAATGGAGAGGCCAGGGAAGGAGGAGGAGGCATCTGAAAAGGGAGTGGTATAGAAACCCACTTGACCCCCCAAATTTACTTCTGTAGGGTGATAGGTGTTAAGAAAATGCACACATTAGGAATCTTGTTAAAGTATTACAATGTGCATTTTGCTAATTTAATTCCAATCTAGTTTCTGATTCTGGCTTTGGTTTCTTTGCCTGTTACTGTTACTGCAGACATCTTCTCTTGCCTCTTCTCCTTGGATCCCAAATGAAGCCCAAGTCCCAGCAGGCAGGGGCAACAGCAAGAAACTAGGCCCTGCCCATTCCCACTGTTAGCATGGGTGGGTGTGTTTGACTTGCTCAGTGTGTGTGTGTTACTGTGTGTGTGCACGTGTGCATGTGTGGCATTCCTTTTTAAGACAATTTAAAATAACTCCGCCAAAGATATGGGCCTTCAGCGTGTGTTGCCAAGTAGACGTGGCCCTCCCTCCTGCTGCTCTGCTCATGTGGCCTGGCTGATGTGGGCAACTCCCAGTTCCTTCTTTCATGTGTTTTCCAAGAGAAAAGGCCTAGGCTGCCTGGTGGCTGGGGGAAAAACTCAGCTGTGGGTGACAAGCACAGGCTGGCTTTGCATGCTTTCACTTGGGAACTAGATGCTGGATACAAGTTGCTTGGGGATGCTGGAAGAAAACCCAGCATGTACCCAGGGCAGGGCATTATTGTGCCCACTTCACAGACAGCAAGGCTGAAAAGCCCAGAGTAGAAAGAATTCTTGGGTTACAGGCCAAGTGTAGAGCCAGGACAGGCACTGTGTATCTGGAGCCAAACACTAGTGGGCCTTGGAAGGATAGAGTTGTTAGCTTTGTGACTTGTTCTCCTGCTCCTTTCCTCAAGATCTCTAACATTCATGAGATTCCTTATGCAACACAATTAAACACTGTCACAGTTGGAAGTGGTTGTGGCTGCCCACTGGGAACAAAAAGGTTAAAAGCCCCCCTGCTCTCTGTAGGTGGTAAGACAGCAACAGACCTTTTGATGTAAGGCTCATTCATTCCTCCCAATGACTCCTGATCCATCTTCTCTAAAATATTTGAATAGACCTCCTTATCACCAGCTATCTAAAGTGAAAGGCCTCAGCAAGCCAGAGAAAGATGCAACTGTAAACATATAATTTTAAAAGCAATGCAGCTGCTCCCAGAAGATCCACAAGGTGCCAGATGATCCAGGAAAAGACATTCTTTACTTGATCAGGTTTGCTGTCTAGAACCTGTCTTCATATCATCAACCCTTATAAAACTCAGTTTCTCACTCTGACAGCACAATTCCTTATCCTGGAAATTTGCTCACCTACTGTCCCCTTCAACAGCTTACTTTGGTCTAAATAAACAGTTGTCTTTCTCCATCCCTTGTCCTCTTTACAGCCAGCTGTCTCGCATGGCAGAAGTGACATTTTTTATTTCTTGACCCAGCCCTTTGCGTTCATGCATCCTGTGTTTACCGAGAGCTTATTATGCGCTCATCTGTATTCTGGGCATTGGGGAAATGTACTGAGTGAGACACAGAAGGCCTAAGGCCTAGTGTAGCTCAGGTTCCACTTGGGACACCAATGTTAATCAGATGAACACCTCATCATCATCGCCCCTGTGATACGCAGAATGAAGAAACTTAAAGGCTGTGACGAGCATACTCGGCCACCTCTCAGTGGGGCTAGAAGTTCTAGGCAGCTGTTTTGTATTTGGGTATTTTTTGTGTGTGTGAGCCTAAGTGTAGGAATTAAATTTTTTTTCCCCCTTTAGACTCTCACAGTTCCATTTTGCTGGTCTTGCAGGGTCATATTTAACATTCAGCACGTTAGCTGTTTATAGGTGCTTACTGTAACCTTAGGTTTCAGAGGCATAACTTCCATGTTTTTGTTCAAATCGTTGCTCCTGGTTCTGTCTGATTCCAAGTGACTTTCTAGCAATGTTGCCCACAGCCAGAAATTCTATCTGTGCTCCCCAGAGATGAAGAGTAGTGCTTCTTTGGTTCCTTCCTTTGTTAGATATAAACTGCGGGGACATCTTCATGGGCAAGGCCTTCAAGAGGTGTTCAGCCTGGGCCGAAGACTTAATTGACTTCAAGATATTTTCGTGAGCATCAGCCTCTGTCTCTGGAAGAAAACATGAAGTCAAGTTAGATTCACCCTCTCCCTCATTTGTCCCCTAAAGCTGCGCACCACTGTTCATTATAAAGCCACATTGCCCTTTCCACTTGTGTATTTTAAGAACAGAGGTGCTAGGTATAGTGACAGGTGTCTGTAGTCCCAGCTGCTTGAGAGGCAGGTGCTGGAGGATGTGGAGCTTGGGCCAACCTGGGCAATTTAGAACTTGTCCCTAAATTAAATTAACTAAATTTAAAAACAACGAAGAACAGAATAAGAATAGATGGTAACAGAGAAAGCTGGGAGATAGGCTAATGCAGGCTTCTCAAAGAACTCCTCGGAGAATCTCGGGGGTCCCTGAGACTCTTTCACAGTCCAGCTAGTCACTGAATTGCCCGGGTGGGACTCAAACTTGTGATCTTCTTGCCTTAACCTTCATGAGTGCTGGGATTACAGGCTTGTGCCATGTTTCTTTCACTTTTATCATTTCTCTGTGCTGTTGCATTACCCGACAGCTGCAAATACTCTGCTGTTCCAGTTACAAAACGGAACAAATGCTCTTATTACATTTTTCTCATTTCAGAAAATAGTTTTCTTTTAAAAATACTCACGTTGCTGGGCATATTGATGCAAGCTTGTAATCTTAGCTACCTGGAAGTCTGAGGCAGGGGGATCCCTTGAGCCCAAGGGATTGAGAACAGCTTGGGCAACATAGTGAGACCCTGTGTCAAAAAGAAAAATGATGTTAGCATATGGGCTTATTGTCGGTGTTTGTAAGTGAATTATGATTTCAGACACACTAATTTGTCTTTTTCAATTTTATGCTTTATTACTGCATATTTGTAGTATGTAATGATTACATTCCTCATGGGGCTTTGATACATGTACACATCTCAATTCTTATTTTCATCCCTGTCTCCTTCTGCCACCCCACCCCCCGCCATCTCTTGGTCACTTTCCCATTTGCAAAGGATCTATCTCCCTATCTTATTTTGCTCTTTATTTATATTTGAGTTTCTCATATGAGAGAAACCGTGCAATATTTAAGCTCAATGTGTCTGATTTATTTCACTTAATATTATGGTTTCAAGATGCATCCATTTTCCTACAAATGACTCAAATTTATATCACTTTATGGAAGAATAGTTCTCCATTGTAACACACTAATTTGTAATACACTTTTTGGGGGCAGTACTGGGGACTGAACTCAGGGCTCACATTGAGCTATATCCCTAGCCCTTTTTAGTTTTTATTTTGAGAGGGGGCCTCACTATATCACAAAGTTACCCAGGTTGGGCTCAAACTTGTGATCCTCTTTCTTTATACCTCCCAGAATGCTAGGATTACAGATATGCACCACCATGTCTGGTTTAGTATACTAAATTTTGCTAGCAACAACTCACAAACAAAAGCTCTTTGAAGTCCTTAGTAACTTTGAGGGGTATATAGCAGTTCTGATCCCCCAAAATGTTTGAGAACTACTGAGCTGCAGGATCAGGCGTCCCCTAAGTGTTGGGAGATTAGTAATTTCTCAAGAATCCATTATGATTCGAGCAAGCTTAAGTTCACTGCATTCCTAATTTAGATGTCCACAGTCTGTCCCAAGGTGCGAGCTTCACAGGATGAGTGTTTCCTTCGGAACTGGGTGGTCTAGCCTGAGTGTCACCTGCAGCCCCACTGTAGCAGCATGATCCAGGATGGATCCCAGGGCTCTCTGGGGTTCATGATCCATGTGAACCTAGCTAAGCCTCAGCCTGGTTCCTTCACTCCTGTTCCCACTCTATCCTGCTCCCCAGGGTTGCCTCCTAATTCTGGACATCATAAATACGGCTTCTTCAGCTTAAAGAACAAAGGGCTTGGTCTCAGGAGGCAAATGTCTAGTGAGCACTGCGTGGTAACCCCAGGCCAGATGTGCCAAGGGGTTGGAGTGGTGTTCCATGCCAGATGTGGAGTTGGGAGAGTAGTGTCCCATGCCAGGACTCAGCTCTCTGCTTGACAGGGTCCTCGCTCTGCTCAGTACTCAGTTGATTTTGCAGCTCTGAACATGTGAAAACCTGTGAACTTTGATTTCCTGTGGACTCCCCTGAGAGTCACTGTAGTGGCTGCCAGAGGTTTCAAAGGTCACCTCAGCTGGGAGGATTAGAACAACATTATCTCCCGAGTGAAGTTGGCTGCCTGGCAGAAGGCAAGTTGCAACATCTGCGAGCAGAGTTAGAACAAAGCCCCTTAACTTTTTCAGTCTGGCCCTGGACTCTGGCTCCTGCTCTCTCTATTCTCCCTTCTCACCAGACCTTGGACAGGAATCTCAGCAGGACAGTGGGGAAGTGCAAGCCGACTCTCGTCCTGCCTCCTGTGACAGCTGCTGGGAAGAGGCCTCAGGTGTGTCATGTGCCTGTGTGTGGCCCTGCCCCATTGTGCTTGGGTGGGTCGTGGCAAGTCATCCTGGTGTGGCCAGAGGAGCAGCTCCCAGTGGGATTAGGAGTGATTAGGGCATTTGTCAGGATCTGAGTGCACTGCCGGGAGGATTAAGGGGACAGAGTGGACTGTCAGTGCCCGGGGCATTTGCACTCGGGTAGTTTGGCCACCTCTGATGTGTGCTGGGACCAGGGGTACTTCTTTGCAGACTTCCAAGCCTGCTCGGGAGCCCTTTCCTGCAGGAAGGTTTGGTACTTCCAGGATGCCGTGCACATCTGTCCAGTGCTCAGGAACTGGTCATTCAAAGTGTGCGTACTTTGAATAGAGAAGGGGACTGTGCTGTGTAACTTGATCCCTGAGTTTCAACCCACCCCCAGTCTTTTTGTACTCCCTTTTGGCCACAGTTGAAAGTGATTTTTTCTGGGGTCAAGAGACAATTTTAAATGCTTTAGATCAAATTCAAGTCCATTTAAATCAGTGGTGCTTTGCGTGATTAATAATCATGTTACTTATGAAATTCCAGTTAGGGAGAGAACTTCCAACTCTTGGACCACTGCTCATTTGTGCCCCTTCCCTTCTGCTTTCCTCTTATGTCTCTGTCCTTTGATCCTCATTTATCTGACACCGAATGCAACCCCCTGGCTGGCTGTGTTTGATTTTAGCCAGTGAGCACTGCTGTGCTGAAAGAGAAAATGTTGTAATGCAGACATCACCTAACCCCTCTCTGTTTTTCTCTACCCAAACGTGGTCACTAGGCATGATGAAAGATTGGCCAGGAGCACGGAAGCTTTGACTTGATTTATTTTATATTAACATTTTCTCCAAGTATTTCGTGGCCATTAATTGGCAGTGTGGCAGTGGCAGGAACATTTGTGCTAACGATGGTGGTGGGCAGGGTGATGGGCTGAGAATGAGCCAAGTTGTTTGGGGTTGGCTGGTAAGGTTTGGTTCTGCCTGTGTGATGGTTGACTATCTCCGCCCCCTCCCCCCAGCACATCTCCCAAGGGACTGGAGATTTCCTTGCTGTACTGAGTGGCCTGTGCCTTTTCTGCCTGAAGCCAGCCTCTTCTAGGGGTAGATGGCTCCCTCCCATGTTCTTAAGGCCAAGTGTGTTCCTTTAGATGGGAGCATGGAGACTTCAGGAGATTTAGCTGGACCTCAGCAGATCTCAAATCAGGAGGATTTGTAGATAATCCTGGGGAATCTTTGTCTTCTAAAGCAGAAAGGGAAGGTTCCTTCTGTGCCTCTCTTCTCTGGCAACTCCCACGTCTTTCCTGTGGCATCTCCCATTACTGAGGATGGTGGGAAATGCCTCATTTTGGACCTTACAAGTCTCCAGGAAGGCAGCAGAGTATGAGTTTGCCATCAGATCTTAGTCGCAGTCTCAATTCTAGGCTATGTGACCTTGGACAAGCGTAGCTGGCTTTCTGAGCCTCTGTGACTTCATCTGAGAAAAAGCAGTAATCAGAGCTGCCAGCAGGATTGTGGGATTAGGTGAGGCTGTGCATAGCATGATGTCAGCCACATGCTCTGTGGTCAGTGGGCCTGAGGCCTCCTCCTGGCCTTTTTCTAGACTCTGACATCTACCGCCTTACCTGAAGATAATCAGGACGTCTCGGCTTCTTGTTGTCCTTGGTGATAGAGTCCAGGTCTGTAGGGCAGTGGGCTGGCTCTCTTGTGGGCCACCAGCAGCTCCCGCTTTCCTGAATGCCTATTATGCTGTACTGTGGTCTTATACACACTTCATTTGATTCCTCCCTTCCTCCTTGTGAGGTGGGTAGAATTCCCACCAACAAAAAGCAGAGGCCAAGAGAACGGAAGTACAGTACCTAGCCCAGTGCACACATAGAAAGTGCCAGTGCCCCTGGATTTGTGGCAGGATCACAAAAGTCTGATCCTCATCTTACCAGCCCTGCCTCATCCTCAGCTCTGGTTCTGACTTGTGTCTGTTACCTCACCTCAGAGGCAGAGGAGGAGGCAGAAGGAGCAGCATTCCCACTGGGCTGTGGTCCTAGGTAGCTATGCAAGACATATTCCTCTCTCGCCCTCTTGTACTGTCCCTACCATACATCATATCGCGCAAATACAAACACACATAACACACACCCCGACACACATAATTCACTGCCCTCTTCCTAGCACTTAGCTTCGCCTAGATGCTCAGTAAATTGAGGGAATGAATATATTCAGATTGTTGCCATTAAAAGTATATAAGAGTCACATACACACATACATATATATGAATGAAAAGATGTACCTGTGCTTTCATATTTATTCAGTATTATTTACAGTAGCCAAGGTAATCAACTGTGGTGTCCCTCTGTGGCTGATAAATAAAGTATTATGTGTGTGTGTGTGTGTGTGTGTGTGTGTGTGTATTGTGTAATATTACCCATAAAAATAATGAAATCATGTCATTTTTGACAAACATACATATATATGAATGAAAAGATGTACCTGTGCTTTCATATTTATTCAGTATTATTTACAGTAGCCAAGGTAATCAACTGTGGTGTCCCTCTGTGGCTGATAAATAAAGTATTATGTGTGTGTGTGTGTGTGTGTGTGTGTGTGTGTATTGTGTAATATTACCCATAAAAATAATGAAATCATGTCATTTTTGACAAAATAATTAGAACTGGAGGTTGTCATGTTCAGTGAAGCAAGTCAGGCACAGAAAGAGAAGCACCACACATTCTCATTCATATGTGGAAGCTAGAAAAGTCTACTGTACAGAAAGGGAACAGACTAGGGATAATTCTAGAGGAGGAGAGGTAGCTAAGGGATATAGAGGAAGGCTGCATCACCAGCATGGTTTTGATCAGCCTTCTGCTGCTGTGTCAGAACATCTGGAAAAAATCAACTAGGAAAAATGTGTTTTGGCTCACAGATTTAGAAATTGTGGTCTGTGATCATTGGCTCCATTGCCCTTGAGCCTGTGGTGAGGCAGAGCATCATGGTGGGGAGCGTGTGGCAGGCTGACTGCTCACCTCATGGTGGTGTGCAGTGAACAGTGAGAGAAGAAGGGCCCAACATCCTCTTTAGGGCATGCCCCCTATGACCTCAATTCCTTCCACTAGGCCCCACCTCTTAAAGGTTGCATCACCACCTGAGAGCCCCACAAGCTTGCAACCAATCCTTTAACCTCTTTAACCAACCATTCCCTGGCCGTCTTACATCTTTAACACATGAGCTCTTGAGGCACATTTCAGATCCAAATCATAGCAGATACCAAGATACAGTTAGATGGCAGGAATAGTATTCCATAGTGTAGCAGGGTAATTATAGCGCT